GGACTGTCCAGGCAAATGGAACTTTTACCTTGACTAAAGACCGGACAGCCCCAAGTTGACCCGAAAAGGATCAATCCGGGTCTGCCGGAGTGTTCCACAAAAGGGGAGCAGTGTAACAGAACTATGATTATGCCTATATTTTTGCCTGGACTTAATCAACAATGCTGCTGGAGGGGTTAAACAGAACCGAATGGCTGGTGTTCGTGTGAATAATGCTACTATAACATACAACCCAAAATACCGAACATCAGACCACCCAGGGGAACAATTAAGTGCTATTTTACCTCCCAGTGATTGTGGAACCGTTCGCATGGTTCAGACGAATCCCTTTGTGCTCAGGTTAGATGGCCGCCATTTCGGGACTTTACACGTGTTCGCGGCCATCTTACGCACGAACGGCGGTGTTTGCCTGTGAACGCATGAAAGGTAAATCTGCTAATCTGGTGACTCGGTCCCTCTGGTCACTATTCTCCAACCCTCGATTGTCAGCTGAATATTCAGGGAAGATTTTTATGGAAGCGTATTAACCAGACACACACTCTTTGCTTTCCATAATCTTCTGACAATGTATTCAAAATGCTCTGTACTTATACAATATTTGTCACGAATATTGGTTACAAAAGGTTACAAAAAGGTTACACAAGATACATAAAAGAGGAAGTAGTTTCTGCTGTTACATTCAATAATCTAATCTTACAAAATATCACATATACATTGTGGTTAGGCATTTCCTGATAACTTTCAGTTATGTTTTGCAAGCAGTTCTGAAAAGAGCTTGCTACTACATATACAAAATAATTCAATTTATACAATACTGACAGATTAATTGTTTAACCCCTTAAGGACCAAATTTCTGGAATAAAAGGGAATCATGACATGTCATGTGTCCTTAAGGGGTCAATATTCCTTCATTTTCCCCTCTTTGAGCAATATCTTGCTCATACCCTATTTAAGGAGTCCTGGTCAGACAACCAGCCATCTGCCATGGTATATTCAGGATTGCTAGCCAATCCTGCAGGTCTTTCATTATGTCTTCGGCCACTATTCCCATAGCATAGGACTAGGCATCTGACCAGTACCACAAACTTATAGATCTGTATCAGCATGTTCACCATTGCTTCGGTTATGTGTATACATTTGGAGATACTCATCATAGCAAGCTGGGGATTTTACAGGAACAGTGTTGCGTGTATGTTTGTAAATGCAGAATACAATAATCTTGAAAATAGCATAAACAAGCAGAGCAAGGATCAGAACCATAACAATAAGTATTGCAATATTCTTTAACCAGTCTAGGATACTGTCAGACTTAAACATATCTGCCCATGGGTGATCAATACCTGAATTCCTCTTCATTTCTATGGACAGGTCTTCCAATTTCTTTATAGCTAGGGTTACTTTACCATTAGGGCCAGTGTTCTCTGCAATATAGGTACAACAAACACCGGAGTCAAGTAATTTACAGACTCCTCCCTTTTCTGCTAAAATCATATCAAGGGCCATTCTATTCTGGAAAGTCGTTTGTGAGGTAGCCTGTAATTGTTCAGCAAGACCTTGTAATGCATCTCGTGTATAATTTACAAATCTTTGCTGATTATAATATATATAATTAATCCAGTTAACATTCTTGTTAGCTGTTATAATGGGAAATATTGATTCAAATCCTGCTGCCACCTCGTCTCTAGCTTTAAATTCATTAGGAACCCCTCTTGGAATACCAATGGCATCTAGATAGATATGTGGGTCGAAACTACCTTGTCGGGATTTCCTTTTCCTTCTTGTGGAATCAGTTACAACCTTAATTTCAGGGAGAGAGTCGCCAAATATATGGAGGGGCATGATTATTTTGGCTGGGGCACATTCTCCTCTCCAGGGGGTGGGGAGTCTAGAACGTATTTTCATATCTCCACATATTCAATAAACATCTCCCACAGATTGTGTTTGATTCACTAAGGTAATATTACTGTAGGCGGAGCAGAATCCTGAAGAAAAGTTATCAAATGGTTTACCCACCTTACAATTATTATTTCCCTGAAAACAAGTATAATTACCAGGGTATACTGAGACAACATCATTTAATTTAAACTTGGGTTCACCAATAGGGTGACCCTTTTTCCATTCTTCACATCCTGTAGTATTAACAGTGGTACCTGAAAACAAACTTAGGAAGCATTCCCAGTACTCATCAGGGACACGTAAAGGTACAGTTCCTAGATGAGGTCTGGCACTACCACATACATAACAGTTTGACCTATTGCTGGAATGGGCATTATATCTCAACCATTCCAGCCATAGGTTTGTATCTGTATACCCTGTTTCTAACGTTTGGTATCTCCAAACGTGGGATCTGCTATGGCCATCATATCACCACAGGTTTGAATGTGGGGCTTTAGAGGATTAACAAGAGTTTGTCTAGAGGTGAGGCTTTCCCATTTTGAGGAGTTCCATATATCTTTTAACTGGATTTTTCCTCGATTACCTCCAATACCTCCTCTTAAAAAGGTCCCAAGCCCCCCAGCGGAAGAGCTGGCAGCTGGGCAGAGTGCCTTGATCTCCAGGACTGGGGTTTTCAATATTTAAGGTAAATTTCATGGAGTGCCCAGTTTGCCCTATAGGGGTATATGTACCTGGCTTTGTTAGGGTCATTCTAGTCAAGAGGGACTTCCCATTCGTATCCTTTTTATCTAATGCATTCTGTGGCTTATAACCCAAATCTGTCCCGGTGTTCCATCCAACTGAGCCCCAATAATCACAATTGTTACCCCTCTTTGAGCAATATATATTGCTCATATCATCGGTTAACATTCTCCCAAAACAGAGAAATTTCCACATTATGGCATTCCCAAGCAATCATGTGGTCTACAAGAAACAGAAACTCAGCAGAAAAAAACCAAAACAAAAAACACTTAATACTTTTGCAGACAGATATATAGAAAATGGATGTTTAAGACAGAATGGAACTTATAGCAACTATGTTATTGCACAACCAGGACCTTGCGTCCTATATCTTTTAACCATTTCCCTCTTCCAAAAGTCCAGTCAAAACCAGTCATATCCTCACGCAATTTCTCAAAACATGGGAATCCATCCCTAGCACACTCAACATATATCCACAACACACATAGTACATCCATCCCTGGGTCAGCTAACACTTCCTCTCTCTCTGGCTAACTCTACAAAAATAAAAATAAAAATAGTTCAATAGTTCAGCATAGTTCAGAAAAATAGAATAAGTCTTTCACAGAGTATAAAGAAATCAGTTTAGACACCAGACATTTTGTTCCATAAAAATGGCTAAGGGTAGCAATATGGCTGACAACAAGACAATGTCAGCTTCCATATAGTTCTTAGTTCTTCTTTTGTTTGCTGGATTTTCACCACAAAGCTCTGTGCAACACCCCAATGGTTGAAAGGGTTGTGACGAAGTGCCCTTCGCCACTTGGTCCTGGAGAGGCCTACTTGCCAGCCTCCTCCCCTGTGACTATGACTCTTTTATGTATCTGGCTTTAAAGCCCCTAGTCTACCTTCAGACAGACTATTTATGTAGGCTGCTTTATTTATCTTATGTTTTAGTCACCCTGTACCCATTATAGGTGCAGGGTGTGTGTAATGTAATTGTTTATAGTGTGTGTGTGTGTACTGTGTAATGTATTGCCTGCTCTCTTGTATTGCTGAGGTTTGCTACCAACTAGGTGGGTTTGGCTATGGAGCTTGTCTAGTGCCCTCTGTTGGTAGCAACAGCAATATGCACTACCTGAATTGCAAGACTGGTTCATTTGCATATTCGGGTAGATTTGCATATTGCTAATTCTGCAGGCAGGTGAGATATTTACTGTTAAATATTGTCTCCCCCCACCCCTTTAAAAATGTGCCATTGTGTTGTGATAAGTCACTGTGTGTTGCTTGATATGGTTTGACTGTTTGTGATTTTATTGAGGTTTCACAACAATGTTATTGTGGTGACCCTATTGGCTGGTCCCAAGGGAATAAAGGTTTTGACAGTTCTTCTTGATCCCTCTAAACGTAGCCTTGTCTCGTTATTGGAGGGAGCTGTTATAATCACACTGGGGATTGCTATGCTCTGCATGCTCCCCTGAGCTTGAGTCACTTAGCTCTTTTAAGAGCTTGTTCCTGACATGCTCTCCTTGGAGGAGGGGTCTTCACCACACAGTCCTGGAGGACAGAAGCTGATCCAGGGTGGAAGGAAGACGGTGAGACTCCAGTCAAGATACGGCGGTTGTGGTGTCTGCTGCAGTGCTTGGGAGTCCTCAGGAAGCGCTAGGAGCATCCATCAACGGAGGGTACTCAGTCGGAGTACAAGGAGCTCAGTTACATTGGTGGCAGCGGTGGGATGGCGTCCTAGTGCGAGGAGAAGCAGCTCGGAGACACTGGTATCGTATGAGAGGTTATTGAGGGCAACGCTAGCCACTGTGCAGCGTCCCTAACTACAGCAGCATGGAGCAGGGATGGATAGAGCCCTGCGAAGAGCACCTCAACATGATACGTCGCTACGAGGACGACGCTTACATTGAGGAGGTAAAGAGGCGGTTGGTCTGCTATGGCCCAGACCTTTCGAACGAGGTGGTCCACCAAGTAATGCGCCAGTTGAGTGCTGAGAACAGTGCGGCAATGGCCTTTGAGCGACAACTGTGGAGGTTGAGGATATGGACACCTAGTCTCCAGCGGCAGTGCAAGTTACAGGGAGCCGAAGGTGTCGTCCTTCCTCCCCAGCGGCAGTGCAAGTTACAGGGAGCCGAAGGTGTCGTCCTTCCTCCCCAGCGGCAGTGCAAGTTACAGGGAGCCGAAGGTGTCGTCCTAACTCCCCAGCGGCAGTGCAAGTTACAGGGAGCCAAAGGTGTCGTCCTTCCTCCCCAGCGGCAGTGCAAGTTACAGGGAGCCGAAGGTGTCGTCCTTCCTCCCCAGCGGCAGTGCGAATTCCAGGGAGCCGAAGGTGTCGTCCTTCCTCCCCAGCAGGTGTGTCCTACAGGGAGCAGAGACAGTTGGTCTCTCTCTCCAGCAGCAGGACAATATTATGGGAGTGGAGACAGGCGGTCTCCCTCTCCAGCGGCAGCCTGTGTTTCAGGGAGAGGAGCACAGCACCCTATCTCCCCAGCGGCAGCTTACCCTACCAAGGTGAGACACCAATCTCCCAGATGGCGCAGAGGGGACCGTGGCCTCTGTGCCCGACCTACAGGGATGCTGGACAGCCTGTCCAGATCCCCAACTACCCTCACAGGGACAACAGGAGGAGGGGGTAAGTACGAATTCCCCTCCCCAGCTAACTCCTAACTTGGCCCCAGGGTTAACAGGGGAGATGTTAACCCCCACTGACCCCCACGTTCCCCTGGCTACTGAGCCGGACTATGTCCCAAGCCCCCCAGCGGAAGAGCTGGCAGCTGGGCAGAGTGCAGTCAGCCTCTGCCCTCCCTTTGTCCCTTGTCCAGAGCCTGATGTCCTGCAGGCTATACCAGCAGAAGAGCTGGCATCAGGGCAGACCGCTGCTGGCCTCTGCCCTACCGATCCCCTTGTCACAGGACTGGCCTGCACCCCCCTCCTCCCAGCAGAAGCGCTGGCATCAGGGCAGAGCGCCGCTGGCCTCTGCCCCTCAAGTCCCCACAGCGTGTTGCCCCATCACCCCAGAGGAATACCCAGGTGCAGTCACTGTTTGCTGTGGGTGGGCTGCTCTAATAACTGTTTGTTGTGGGTGGGCTACTCTGGCACTTGCTTATGGTCGGTGGGTGACTCGACTAACTTAGGCACTGACCGACAGAAAGTCAGGTGCCTGGTTAGTCTTCCCCCCGAAGGGGAGATATGTGACGAAGTGCCCTTCGCCACTTGGTCCTGGAGAGGCCTACTTGCCAGCCTCCTCCCCTGTGACTATGACTACAGACTACCTTCAGACAGACTATTTATGTAGGCTGCTTTATTTATCTTATGTTTTAGTCACCCTGTACCCATCATAGGTGCAGGGTGTGTGTAATGTAATTGTTTATAGTGTGTGTGTGTGTTCTGTGTAATGTATTGCCTGCTCTCTTGTATTGCTGAGGTTTGCTACCATCTAGGTGGGTTTGGCTATGGAGCTTGTCTAGTGCCCTCTGTTGGTAGCAACAGCAATATGCACTACCTGAATTGCAAGACTGGTTCATTTGCATATTCGGGTAGATTTGCATATTGCTAATTCTGCAGGCAGGTGAGATATTTACTGTTAAATATTGTCTCCCCCCACCCCTTTAAAAATGTGCCATTGTGTTGTGATAAGTCACTGTGTGTTGCTTGATGTGGTTTGACTGTTTGTGATTTTATTGAGGTTTCACAACAATGTTATTGTGGTGACCCTATTGCCTGGTCCCAAGGGAAATAAAGGTTTTGACAGTTCTTCTTGATCCCTCTAAACGTAGCCTTGTCTCGTTATTGGAGGGAGCTGTTATAATCACACTGGGGCATGCTCCCCTGAGCTTGAGTCACTTAGCTCTTTTAAGAGCTTGTTCCTGACATGCTCTCCTTGGAGGAGGGGTCTTCACCACACAGTCCTGGAGGACAGAAGCTGATCCAGGGTGGAAGGAAGACGGTGAGACTCCAGTCAAGATGCGGTGGTTGTGGTGTCTGCTGCAGTGCTTGGGAGTCCTCAGGAAGCGCTAGGAGCATCCATCAACGGAGGGTACTCAGTCGGAGTACAAGGAGCTCCGTTACAAGGGTTATTACAGAACCAGTGGTATTAGACAGCACTACACCTTCAGGACTTTCCAGGTTCTTGCGTGCAAAGTTTATGTCCTCATAAATAAGTATCTCAGTTTCTTCGGCCTGCATGGATAATGACCAAACAGATGTAATTGCAAAATACTTATTGCATGGTCAGCCAGAGAGATTGGTGTGTAGTCCCAGAAATCAGGCGGCACAAACACTCCAGGACGGTCTCTACAAACATACAAACACAAGGATCAATACAACATTAATTAATTAATTACCTAGGCTAAAACTTAAATTAGAGATTAAGGTTAAACCCTTAATTTGTGTAACATGTACTTCTCTTATATTTTATGCAATCTGTCTTCTATGAAGTTTTACATAATACCCCTTTGGAATGCCTTTGTACGGATGAGAGTAGCACTCACTCTATAGAAATGCTTGTTAGGATGAATATTAAAACACTAACATATACATATGGGGATATTTCCCAATAAAACTCTGTTCCTAAACTGGAACCTTGATTTTATATTCAAAATTAATTACTTTAATAATCCCGAATAATTCAATACTCTTGGATTAACACCTAAAACTATATAAAATATTACAAACATGAACCATCTGTGTATTAGGCTGGGGTTGTTGGGTGTGGGTATAGGTTGGAAGCTAAGGTTGGTATTGAGGAATCTGTGGGGGTGGGTTTGGGCACTCATTTTTCCAGTGACCCTGCTATCCACAATTAGAACAGTGTGTTCCACCAATGCTGAAGTTGTTACCTCTACAAAAGTTAGACCCTTTGACGAAATCCTCTACCTCTGCCTTTATTCCATATGCAGGATGGGATTACCTAACTCACACCCCCCTCTTTGTGTACCACACAGATATAATATTAATAAGCTTTTAAAGGCTGAATGGATAGTTAAATTTTGTATATAAAGCAAGGTTGTCTAGGGGTATATACATCGACAATGAAAACATAGCCTTCATATAGGGCTTGCAATACTGATTGTTTGTGTCATGAGCATAATGCAGATATGCGGTTAGGTCCTTTTCCATTGTTATAATATATTAAAAACACTAAGACATTACAAAAAATTTTTAAACACGTATTGCTTCCTGTACCTGTTGCCGTGCAAGGATGTAGTTGGAACATATTTCAAATTGAGTGTCAAAAGTCTAACCATAAAACTACATGTTATACGCTTATCAAGAAAACAAGTTTAACCCGTTAGTGCATACTTTGGATAGCCTCTTTGCATAATTTGGCACGTAGTGAGATTATTATATTATTTATTAATGCTCTTCTGGATCTGAAAAATGCTTTCAATTTACCCATACAAATATAATACAGTAGTTTAGGAGATTAAAATTACCTCACCTATAAATTTCAGAAATTGTCTAATCTCTACTAAAAATACCATGTTATTATTACCCCATAATCAATGAGGCATACTAGATGAATCTTACTTTGACACAAACAATGCAATATACTTTAAAAGTAGAGTTAACTCGGAGCTGGACAATACTCCCCTATTAGAACTCCTTTATGAGGGAGAGACATCTTGTCCATTCAATCCTTTTTATCAGTAAAATAATGACTTTCAGGATTAATCACTTTGCAAATGGAAACGTGGACCCACGATTTGAACAGCAGAAGTTTGCGGGGCCCTTTTCACGTGGGATGTAACAAGCGCTTTTCTTGCTCCAGGAGCGACAGCATACAATTGTTTCATTCTAGCCGGCTGGACAGCATTTCACCTTTTGTAAAAACACTAAATGCTTGCGTTAATGATATGCAAATCACTCTGATAGTTAAACTCCTACACAATGGACAATAAAATACATGAAACACATAACACACTAATTCATTTCAAACCATATAAATCATTCTCAGCATCCAATGTAATATTACATGTCATCTCACAAAACAGACATCCCACAAAACAGACGTAGCAGAAAACACATAATGGATACCCAGCAGATACGCCAATACAGAAAACACATTCATGGGCACGCAACTACACACTCTGTGTCCCTCCTAGGAAACACGGGTAGACACAATATGAAAGCAGTCTTAAACTAACACCTCCAAATCTCCATTCCCATATAGCTATATCAGAACACAACACAGAGCCTGATAGAACTACTCCAACTACTCTTGGCCAAAACACTAGTATTCAACAGCTAATAAAACCGTTATTTGATGGGGTTATTTGACTGGCATTTTTATCAGTATCATTAGACTGAGACAAACTGATTCAAATATAATTTAAAACAACACAGCAACATATAAATTAAACCACTTTCCAGCTGCACACTTCACAGATTATCACAGTCACCATTTACACAGAATAAACAGTTAACAGCTGTACTCAGAACATATTATTGTAAGGGATACCATTTTCAGTTTGTATTAGATTTATTTTAGGGATTCTTATGTATACTTTTTATTTATTTATTTATTTATTTATTTTTAATTCTTATTAACTTCATTACTTTAATCTACTATAGTATTGTATATAGAGAGAAAGGATCCATTTATATAGCGCGCTCATAACTCAAATATTTTTATGAAACTTCCATTAACTAATCTGAGATGATACTGCATCAATTTAAATCTTATAGAAATTGAGCAAACATTTGGACCAGATTACACAGAAATGGTTTCACCAGAATCTTATAGAACTCTCAGAGACTTAAAAAAAAAATTATTCTATACCATGTTTAAAAGGCATGGCAAACCTTAGACCGGTCAGTCTCCAAGAGCCTTAGTAAAACAGGTAGAAACCTTTGTCCATAATCTCTGATCTAGGCTATATACCACAATTTAAAAGAACAGAACACATATAATGTGGGACATAGAAGACACAAAACATATGCAGTAGTTATTACACTGGATCATTTAAAAGGAATCTGTTGCAATAAAAAAGGTTAGTTTACAGCGCAAAATGAAGCATGTGTTGGACCGCTGAAAATGTAAATGTTGCTCTTATTTACAAACAAAAATCATATTAACAGTATGGATCCTTTGCAACAAACACACAGGGCAGGGAAGATGTGCTGATTGGTGTTTCTATACAATTAATCACATATGGGGAATTAACTTTCAAATACTAATGATGTGACTTTTTGTCTCAGTTATAAAAATACTGAGCTCATCATGCAAACAATGCAACACATTTACACTATTCCACTCACATAGAAAGTGTAGTGGGCTTATGGTATTAAATTAACAATCATACCAGGCACACAGATCCCATGTGAAATAACTTGCAATAAAACAGAGTAATAAACTTATCCTTCTATGCAACAGAAAGAATAAAACAAAAGATTTAAGTAGGTCTATCAGGTACAACCTGCGAGTCAGTTCTTTTCTAATATACAGTATTGGTATCTTATATACATATATATATTGGTCACTCAGGACCTGAACTCACATTTCCCATACTGCTGACTCAGGGTGGACACACTACTAACTTACTAAAGTGTGTCCCCAGTATAGACAATCACCCAATTGATGGAGAATCATTGTTTGCAATAAAGACATGGACACTACAAATGTGCTTTAACAAGATTCTCAGTGAGTATATTTTCAGGGTTAGCATATAAAGCAAAAAGAGTTTAACTATTTCATATCCTTACAGTCAGCACTAATGATTATAAACCTTATTTAAGCATAAAATACATATGAACAAGAAAAGTTAACTACTTCATATTCTTGCATGGTAATTTCCCATTCCTAGGAAAAATCTTTCAAACACTTATTCACACTCACAACCAGGCTTAACTAATGACAATTAGAGGGTGGACAAGGTGAACCTGAAACTCTGTGCACACTATCGTAGTATATTCACGTATATACTAAATTCTCTGTCTATATCACTTTATAGACTTTATCTGTCTAATTCTCTTATTAGACCTTCTCTAGTTCACTTACTAGAAATACATATGTCTCTCTGTCTAGTTCCCTTACTAGACTAATTTAACGGGACCTTATGTAAAACTGAGTCACATAAAACACATATACTAAATAACCTTTCCTAAAATGATGTAGACTTACAAAACCATGGGGATCATAGATTCAGGGCGTCAAGATAGACACAAGTAATTACTACTCACCCAAAATGGTTTTGGCTACAATCCCACTTCTGACACCAAGCTGAAAGGTAAATCTGCTAATCTGGTGACTCGGTCCCTCTGGTCACTATTCTCCAACCCTCGATTGTCAGCTGAATATTCAGGGAAGATTTTTATGGAAGCGTATTAACCAGACACACACTCTTTGCTTTCCATAATCTTCTGACAATGTATTCAAAATGCTCTGTACTTATACAATATTTGTCACGAATATTGGTTACAAAAGGTTACAAAAAGGTTACACAAGATACATAAAAGAGGAAGTAGTTTCTGCTGTTACATTCAATAATCTAATCTTACAAAATATCACATATACATTGTGGTTAGGCATGTCCTGATACATAGAAACTGTCATAGCTTGTGACTTCCTTTCAGTTATGTTTTGCAAGCAGTTCTGAAAAGAGCTTGCTACTACATATACAAAATAATTCAATTTATACAATACTGACAGATTAATTGTTTAACCCCTTAAAGACCAAATTTCTGGAATAAAAGGGAATCATGACATGTCATGTGTCCTTAAGGGGTCAATATTCCTTCAACGCATGGAACTAAAAACAGGCGAACACCGCTGAGACCTCCAGGAGCTCGTAAGTTCGTGCTGGAACTACCGAACGACCGGCCGTTCGGTAGTTTTGTTTAAGCAGTCATGGGGATTCAGGTGAACACCAGGATTACTGTGGATGGCAAGGGGTTTGTGGGGTTTTTATGCACGAACGGAGACCCACCGCAAGGCCAAAACTTATGGAACTCTTTTCGGCTGGAAAACCTGTGCGGTCGGTCAAAACTTCAAAGACCCATAACTCCCGAACCCGAACTCCCGAACCCCTCAACCGAATGACCTCAAATTTGGATATATTGTTCCCCTGAGTGAGAGCTATTAAGTGCTGTACTTAAAGGTGTACCCCCTGGTTTTGGGGTACATCCAGAATGTAGTTAAAATTGTGTCTGTTTTAATTGTGTTACATGTTATCTGAGGGGAGGAGACGTGGGGGTTGAACCATGTATGTAATTGGCTGTTGTAGTAATTATGTGGGTGTAGCCTTTCAGAGGGCAAGATTGCATAAAAGGAGACCCCCTGTCAATAAACATCAGTTCTACTTGACCCTTCAAAAAGTAGCCTCGTCTCGTTCTTGGAGGGGATTTATGGTACTGTTACTCTGCCTGATTTTACAGCACTCCTGGATTATACAATTGGATATTGTGGATGGGAATAAGAATTCCATTACTTCACAGCAGCTTGCCTAGAAAAGGACGTCTCCAATGGCAGGTA